TTGGGTTAACTTCCAGACAGACAAGCCCTCCATGGACTGTAGCAATAATTTACTCTGTACTACATCTACCTTCTTCCAGAGTCTCAATGTTTCGGAATTAAGCAGACACATGCAAGACATTAACATCTAAAAGTAGAGTAAGTAAGCTCAAATCTAAGAGCCTGGCTGATGAGAAAAGTTATCAGGAAGACTTTTTTTTTTCTCACTCCCATTTATGCTGAGAAACATAGGAAACATATTAATATCTTTTGTCTGAAATGTTAATTGATATGGCCTATAACAGTGTAGTCAGTCAAGTGACAAATAGATTTGTAACTGGTTTCTCTTTTCTCCCTGAAAGAGAAGAACAAAAGGAAGTCCTGTCAAATATGTTACAAAACTATTTGATTGGTTTCTTTCTGACACTGCTTTTTAGCTGATGGATGCCCTCTTCTGCAAGTAGGAGCTGGATAATATAGTACGCTACTAACCATAGCTATTACTTTTTATTTCCTTCTCTGCTTTCTCCATTGAATACTACACATGCCAAAGGGTACCTTAAGATGTTTGATATCCCTCCTGGTGCTCGACATGTGTTTATCCAAGAAGACGAGGCTTCTCCTCACTTTCTTGGTAAGTGTTTCTCTCCTCAGGTTTGTCCTAGAAGCATGACGGAAAGCACAGGGCAGTCATGCAGGATAACCTGCGAACTGAGATAACCAAATTAATATTCCTAGTGTTTAATTTATGCATTTAGAATTGCATGTTTAGGAAAGAGTTCTACAGCATAAGTTTAACAATCAAATATTTACCTTTCATCTGAATTCTTTAAAATTTTAAACTGACCCCAGTTTGCATGTTTACTAAAAAAAAAGGAGCATGATCACTCATATTTAAACTGGCACTGCTAGGGTAAAAACTATATCTAGTCTTAGTGTGAATCCAACTCCATATCCTTACTTCTTCTTACTTGCTATAGATTGTGAGCCACAACTCTTATTGGAAAGCAAACTGGGGAACTTGTGATATATTTTGCAGTATTATGAAGTAATTTCATTTGGGATTTCTCTTATGTAGGGCAATTCATATTGTCAGTCAGTTTGTATCTTGCTACTTACTACTTCATAATGCTTAAGGGATTTTTAGATAAAACCAGAGGGATAATATTTTGCATGGATTTCAGCAAGCTTTTAATGAACTCTATGTACCACGGCAATATGTAAGATCTGTAAACTCTTCAGGCAGACTTAAATGAGTTATTTAAGAAAGTGGGAATAAGGAAAGAAAAAATGAATTCAACTGTGGTAATGTCAAGAGAGAAAACCGTGGCTTTGAGGTACAGAGTGTAATTTGGACCAAGCACAACTGAGAGTAACTTTGAGCAGCACAGTTTGCCTTGACACTAAGTGAGTTCATCAAGCTACTAACCAGGTACTACGGATTGCCTGCATTGTGATTAATATAATCATAGTCAGCTGCAAGGTTTCCACATAGTTCTCTGTTTTGTTTTATTGTGCATTGAAAAAGCTGTGTAAGGAAAAAATTAGGGTCCATGTTTCAGGTTTCTAATATACTGGCTTGTAAACAGAGCATAATAATAATCCCCGCAATACGTGACTTAAAAGGTGTGTTGCAGGAACCGAAAAACAAGTAGTTCCTCGGCTGTTCAAATACTTCAGCTCTTTGTTTACTCATTTTAGAATCGAGATATACATGTATACACAAAAGAAATGTAATATGTTACACAAAGTGTTATTTTTGTAATCTGAGGTCTTTAGCAAATTGGGAAGTTAAGTTATTCTGAAGATTTGACTGAGGTCCTTGCTATTACCTGTGCTTCTTGGCAATTCAGCTAATGTGAGAAAATTTACACACGCATATTGTGCACAAAATAGGTGCTTAGATCCATTTCTATCTTTGTTTCTATATCTAATTCCTATGCAAAAGGAGGTACAAAATTCAATCAAGTAATTGTATGCATCTGTTATCAGACTGGAATGTGGTGGCTACACGAGATGGCCTGGGAGGCCCTTTCTCCATGCCAGTGCGTCTACAGGACTTGCCAATGTGGTTTTTGTTTTTTGGGGTTTTTTTTTTTTTTTCAAGAGTCTGTCTATAATATCTCCTGTCATATTTCACGTAAGCCACCATGATCGCAGATATGATGGGAGGCACGACAGCCACTATTTTCAATCCTTTTAGCAATTAAGAACCAGGCTACAGGACATTATATTCTGAATGGAAAAGGAGAGGAAGCCAGATCGCGATCTTTCATCGACCTGGGCGTGGAGTGGGAATACAGCATAGAAGATGACATAGAAACTCTCCACACTGACGGGCCCTTGCATGACGCGGTGGTTGTGCTGGTAGGTTATATGCCAAGCAGTGGGAAGATGGTGTTCTTGTCTTTTATAAACATGCATGGACAATATGGAGCTTGTACTGAGGTAAAACTTTGCTGCATGGCGCCTCTTGAAACATGTGTGCCGAGGAGGTGGCTCACAGGCTGAGGGTCTTTTCTCACCAACTGTTCAAGGAACATGCTTTCGAGAACACGCTACTGCCATGCGTAGCGTTCAAGGCAGTAGTGCTTCCGCGCTGCCTTCCCCCGTAAACTGCTGCCCATTGGTGCAGTTGCAATGTGTCAGTCACACGCCCAATATGGTGTTGTCTGACATGAGGGGGACACCTTCAGTGGACCAAAATGACACTGGATCAGGCTCCATGTCAGGTCACATTTGAGACCAACCCTGCCCAGCCAAGTATATTACTTGGCCACACCATCCTTCTGTCCTAGGTAATGGTGTCCACTTTGGCCAGATCAGAATCTTTTTCTAGTAAGATATCCTATTTTACACAACTGCTTATATATCTCTGTGTTGATCTCAATATTCTTAGTTCTAATGGTGAAGATCAGGTTTTGTTTCTGTTAGTTAACTAACAGTTCCCAAGTTCCCAGTTTTTCCAAGAACCAGGCCTCGGTTTCTTTACTGTGCAAAGGAATAAATAATAGCTTTGGTCCTGTACCACTGTTTACATTTCATTATTAATAGATCATTCCTCGGGAGAATGACACAAGATCTAGTCTGACTTACAAATACATCATTCATGAGGATTCAGTACCAACTATCAACAGCAACAATGTCCTACAGGAAGAAATAGATACTTTTGAGTGGGCATTGAAGAGTTGGTCCCAGTGCTCCAAACCCTGTGGTGGAGGTAAATAGATGATGCAACAGCTTTTAGCGAATTATCAAAATAGAAACATAAAATTGGGGGGAAATGAATACTTCAGAAATCTTGCGCTTTCTTTTGCAAAGTAGCTTGTTACTTTGGGTGCCCAAGCTTAAAGTATTTAAGTGTCTCATTATTTAAAAGTGTCGTGCTTCCACCCTAAGAAGGAGAATTCCTTTTTAGGTGTCTAAATTCAGCACCCAGACCCAATTTGGAAGCATAGACTTGCACGTTTGTGCCCCTGAGAGTTAACCTGTGCTGTGTATATTACTACTTATACAGAGAATGGGGAATATAAATGTAAGAGTGACTTGAACTCTTGGCATACAGCAATGGAGTAGGTGAGGTGTTCTGGCAGTGGCAATACTAAATTGAGACTTGGGATCTGTGTTCATTCTCAGGTTAGCCTGTGGCATGCTGCTTGATGTTAAGGAAGTAATTTCTCCTCTCCCTCTGCCATGACTGTGTGTGCTGCAGAGGTTAGACTAAAGGATCCTAAGCGTCTTTTCTGGCTTTAAAAACCTATCACAGTGCCATATTTTAAATAGCACTCACAATTTAGAACACCCTGTAATCATGTTGTGCCTGACAGTTGAACAATCAGTGGGTGTGTTTAAATATCATAAAATACCTTCCATAAAATAGTCCATAAACTGGTATTTAAGTAAAATAAAAAATCTTAATAGCAGCAGCATTTTTCCACTGATTTTTCTGAACTATTTTCCAGGATTCCAGTATACCAAATATGGGTGCCGCAGGAAAAGTGATAACAAAATGGTTCATCGCAGCTTCTGTGAAGCCAGCAAAAAGCCAAAGCCCATTCGTAGAATGTGCAATCTTCAAGAATGCACACAGCCTCTGTAAGTGTGTTTTGCACAAAAGTGTATGTGATTGTTGCTTGTGGTCGATGTGGAACTTCAACTAGGTTTGGTGGGATCCTGCTAGATTTCTAGAGTGGGATCCCTGTGTTATGAATGTTTTTTTTTCTACCTGTATAAGAATGGTTACTGATCTTATTGAGGGATTTCAGCACAAAAAAAAAAAAATCCTATGCTAAGGCCTGCCTGAGGTAGCAGCATTTTAGATATTGGGCAAATGTTGTGATGGCATATTATTCCTTTTTACTTCCCAGCTGGGTAGCAGATGAGTGGGAATACTGCACAAAAACCTGTGGGAACTCTGGCTACCAGATCCGCACTGTGCGTTGCATTCAGCCCCTTCATGATGGTGCAAACCGCTCTGTCCATTTCAAGTACTGTAGTGGAGATCGTCCCGAGAGCCGCAGGCCGTGCAACCGAGTACCGTGCCCTGCACAGTGGAGAGCTGGACCCTGGTCTGAGGTGGGTAAGCAGCAGTCAAATGTTTCATATTTCCTTAGCAGCAAATAACGTACCTTTGCTAACACCTCATGCCTCTGATGTCAGTGTTGTGCCTGGGTTGCCTCCACTGGTCAAAATTCAAGATCAGCACCAGATAGGCCCTGCCAACTTGAAGGGCTTCTGTAGCCTCCAAACATCCTAAGAAACAACACAAAAAATATTCAAGTATTGACCATGAGAAATATGAGATAAAATCCTGCAAAACATACGTTGAGATTTTGTTTATTTTTCTCCAAATAAAGTTACCAACTCTTCATTTCCCTGCTTCTGAGGGTAGCATATGTTTTTTTACCAGCTTGGACTGTGGTAGAATCACGGACTATTTCTGCAAGTGTTAGTGTCCACAAGTTACTTCCCTTGGCTATAAGGTTCAAATGTTTGTTCCTGACATTATAACAACACTAAGTTATGTCCTATGTCCTTATTTTCGTTATGTTACACAGTCCAGATCAATAAGTAACTACAAGTAGAATATATTCTTATAATAAATTTAACATTACAGAAAGCAAGACACCAAGGAAAATAACATCCTCCTCCTCTGCATATTTGTCTGTAGTGTCAAGTGACACAGTATCAAAGTCTGCTCAAAAAACAAACTGCTGGAATGTGTAGCATGACATGAAAGGCAGCCTCAGGCTATTTTAAATATGTAACTTGCACATTGCTGCGAATGGTGGGTGTCCTGAATTGTCTTGTGTCTATCCTGTAGTGTTCTGTGACCTGTGGGGAAGGAACCGAAACCCGGCAGATCCTATGCCGAGCTGGTGACCAGTGCGATGGAGAAAAGCCGGAATCAATGAGAGCTTGTAAACTCGCTCCATGTAATGGTAAGAAAACAACTTAAAATGACTGCAGTAGTTAAGGATAGCAATTCCTGTCTCAGAGCAGCACGTCTAATGCTTCTCATGTGCTGGGGAGAGACACGAGATTTCTCTTGCCAATGAAAAGTAAAAATAAAGGACCTACATTTAGTCTTACCTGCAGCTTTAATTCTGCCTGAGAAACATTCTCTGCTCATGTGCATGGGCTTCTGCAACAGGGCAGTGTCTATGTTTGTGATTTGGTACTGTACTTATGTTTTGAAATTATGAGACTGCCAGGTGATAACTGCACAACTCTGTTCACATCTTGTGTGTTAAAAAATGTACCCTTCCTTAGAAACCTGCTTTTGTCCAGCTGAATGTGCCCTTTTGTTCAGCGCAGCAAAACTTGTGTTAGCTACTGGGGTCTGCCCAACTAGACTATTTAAAGCCCAAGATAAGTTTACAAGCCAGGCAAGTGAAGAGGGAAAAAAAAAAAAAAAAAAAGAAAGAGAAAAAAAGCAGCTATGGAGCATTAAAATGTTCCTAAGAACCTCATTACGTTGTTTTCATGGAACCATTTCCAACAGATACTGGATCTTTTCATGACAATAGAATCTTTCTTCCTTTGGGCCCATGACTCCATTAGTTTTTGGGGTTTATTTGTTTCTTTAAATCCTTCATGACAGCCCTAACACTCAGAGTGCTGGTGGGAGAAGCAGACTCAGTGTTATAAGGGAGTGCAGTGTGCTTTCCCACAGAGTGACTCTAACTCTGCTTGCCGCATGTCTGGTAAAGATATCTGCTTCTCCCGTGTATGTCTTCCACTGCTATAGTCAAGTGCAGAAAACAATGCTGGGAATAATTAGCATTAAATGGTTTTTCCACTAGGTGGGAGCAAATCATTATATCTGACTTTACAAACATGATTTAAAGTTCTTTCTCTGTGGTGGAGTGATATTTTTCTTGTGTTAAAAATATTTCCAAAACTAAACAAATAAGGCTATGTCTTGCAGTCTTTTCAGACAAAGTTTTGACCTTGTCCTTATATACTTGAAGCACCAGGTGGGATTTTCTGGAAATTCCAGCATTAAATTCCTGACTTGCAGACTTAAGCACCACACAGTTTTTTTTTTTTTCCTGCTTGTGAGAGTGCTGTGTGTGTCTCATAGTGAGTAGTCAGAGCCAAATGCTGCTGACCCATATGACCAAGGAGTCGCTTAAAATGAATCTAAGCAATAGAAGACCTACGAATGCCAACTAAATCACATCAGTTAGTACTCTTTGTGTTTTTATTGTTTTAGATGCTTCAAATGCAAGTTCTCTTGTATGCTCCAGTGAATGAGGGATTTTTGTGGTCAGATGTAGATACTGGGGATGTCTAACAGGGTTCTGAAACCCCAGGTATGTTTCCTGAAAAGAGAGGACATAGTACACATCACATCAGCTGTGGAAGTGCCTTGCCACCGCACATGTACAGCACGACCCAGACTTTTATGAAAGTGCCGTGGATTAGTAGGGCATAGCCAGCTACATCCAGCCAAGTGCTGCATACCTTTGACAAAAACCACATGGCTCCCCATGGGTTCTGCTCCTCAGAACTTCCCTTTAGCACAAACCTCTGCTCTCTGCAGGGATTTGGGCCATAACTTTCGCCAAGTGTTGGGCTTTTCAGCCTTTGCCCTGAGTAGTTGACAGTGTTCTTTGAGGCCAATAGTCTCTCTCTTTCACCACACTTGAGGTTTCTAGAGCATTCTAGGTTTTGGGGCCATCTAACTAAAATAGATAGTGTTCTGTAGTAGTTATATATTGCACTCCTAATACATGCTGTGGTATGCATCATATTTCTTTATTTTTAAATCTGTATGGTCCTAATTACTATTTCAATTTTTAGGGCATTGGACTTAGCAAAACATTAGTCTGAACTGGGTGCTTTTGGGTGAATTATTTAGTATCTCAATGCAAGATTGCTGAGAGTTCAATCTTGATGGAATTATCATGAACATATACTGCAGTTGATGTGATTTTTTTTTTGTACTGTATACATCTGTATTTCCCTTCTGTTTCACAAATACCACGATCTGCCTGCATGTGGGATGAGAGCCATCAGCTCTCCCACTATGTGCCTAAGTGGAGCAGAGTCTTGTAGTATGGAAAATAAGGGCAACTACCATAGATATATCACTTAATTTTCTATGCTTCTATGACAAGAAGAAAAAAGTAGGGGTGAGGGCGGGGGAGAGGCAGCAGAATTTTATTCTTTGGACCCATAGCTGCAGTCAAGTTTCTGTGGCTGTGGCGATTTTACTATCAAATTCTTGGTTTTATCTGTCTCAAATAAGAAGAACGGATTTAGCGGTACTTAGATTGATGGGCTTTTTATCAGGATCTATATAGAACAGATCAGAGAAAAGTATTTATATGAGATATTCTTCCTTTCCAGCGCATCATATAGGATAAAGGATTCTCCTGTTGTCTTAAGTTTTAGTCCATAAATACCAACTTTTAGCTCAAAGCAAGCTAAACAAGTATCAACAAGTGGGATGTGCTATCAACAAGTAATGTAAAGCTACAGTGATCCTGTGATAAAACTACAGTGATACTGGGTAATATGAAAAATTTGGAGTTAATTTAAAATTATCATATAGTAGCTTCATCTTCTAAAAGTTTCCAATGGAATCAATAAGTTTTCTTACATCATCTGCTCTTGGTAACTGCGAAACAAGTAACAGGTTGTGAGAAGGAGAATTTTTACCATGAACATCAGCAGGATACAAGCACTTACACACTCAGTAGGAAATGGTTGACAAGGCTGTGGAAAATTAACCTAAAAAAAAGAAAGAGATTGTGTGACTGTTTAGTTCAAAACTTGTTCTTGCTGAATCTGCTGAATGTAGCTAAGTACAAAATCAAATTGTTGCACTCTATGTTTGGGTCATGAAATCTAAACCATCAGGAACTAATATGAAGAAAACTAACCATGAGAGAACAGGATCAAATAAAGTGCATTTGTCACCGTGGAAAGGTAAAATAATTGCTTAGTGCTTTCCTTTTTGATTTGTTTGTCACTTTAGGTAAAATTATTTATTTAACTTACATATTGACACTAATTCACAGTGTATACTTAACAAGATTACTGCTGTAATTTTCCAAATCAGGTGTTTTCATCTATGTAGAAGCATAATTATAGTTCTGTATATGATGCACTAATATATATGTGTATATATATGCAAAAATTTGTGTTTCAATATTAGCTGTTCTAGTTTAGATGAATTATGAATATAGCCTTTGAATTTCTCTTGCTAAATTCCTGCTGAAAATAGTTTTATACTACCTTCACAGTCTACACATACTTGCAAGCAAAGCTGCATATTTAATGCTAGGTTTGTCAAGAACCAATAAACATCCAACCAAAGAAGCACTTAAGGATTAGGAGCAAGGAAAGTTTGTATATTACATGCCACAGTCATATAATTTTCCATTTATAAACAATTCCCCACAACCCAACTGATGCGAGTGTGTCTAAGTTTACTGAATTCAGTGGAATTAAGCTGATTTACATTGATGCAGGGATTGGCCTAGAGTTCATTTTTTTAAAATAGGAAAATTTGGTTGCCTAACACACTGTTGACATGTGGTGAGGTAGTATCTGTACACAGGTGAAAAAATATTGTGGTACAGAAAGCTAATTTAATTTCAGAGCTTAATAAGTGGTATTACATGCCATCTGTTGCTCATTAAAATGTTGACTACATAATTACTAACTGTGAATGCAGGAGTAGATGTGTAACAGATCTCAATAGTTTGAGTTAACTCTTGGCTTTTTACATTATAATTTTTCATACTTCTATTTATGTAAAATCCATCAATATCATTTCAAGTAAACTGTGGTATCTTAGGAAAAATCTGCTAATGGAAACTTCCTGCTGTTCTCTGTGCACAGTATTTGAATAGTTACTGGAGGATTTACTCATTTGTCCCACTTGCTGGTTTTCTCTCCTCTCAAGTATTACATGTCTGTATGTTCTTGGTCCAATTCTGGTGTCTTCCCAAGGTTTGAACACCCAGTTTAGGAGACTGAGGAGAGACATAGATGCCCTGTGTTTCTCAGAGTCCTGGTCATGGGGCTCAGTATAGCAAGGGAGACGCACACATCCAGGCACTATTCAGCACAGGAGTGGTCTATTTTGAGGGTCCTCGTAGACATCTGTGGGAAGGCAGTTGCATCTTTCTGCCTTCGGATGCCTTGACTTCAAAATAGCAGCATGCTGGCATGAATGCAGTGTTGACCTTGCTGCAAGCAGGAGGCCAGACTAGGTGACCTCCCGAGGTGCTTCCCAATCTGAATTACCCTGGTGGGTTTTCCTGCAGCATGTGAAGTTCTGAACAATGCAGGTAAGGAACGGTCTAAACGAGCAGTGGGACGAGCTAGACACAGACAGAACTAATAACATATTAGTTTGGTCGATTTTAATCTGAATGCTTGAAACAAACCTCCTACCTTCCTATGGGCCTCGTCACACCTCTACTAAGGCACAAACTGAGGAGTATCTTGGCTTTTTTTTTTTCTCTGAAATGAGAGCAAAGGTTTAATTTTAACCCGCATTCCCTCAGAGAATATCAGGCTACCCAGGGAGCTTGTCATTTGATATGCTTAGTATAACAGATTGCAAAGTTAAGAACCTTAAATCTTGAAAGTGCCACCTATTCATGAGTGTTAGAAGCTCTCAGCATTTTTTCCCAGTCTTGGTAACAGTAAAACTTAAAACGTTGCTCATATGACTGGTCAAATGCTGAAGCAGAATGGGAGGATGCAACAATACGTCTCAGCTCAATATAAAATATGCCTTAATTTCCTTCTGGCTTCTTGTGTTACTGCTTTCCTCTTTGCCCATTTGATCTGAATATTGCCTTTCTGCTTGTGAAACAAATATCCAGCAAATGCTCAAAGACACTTTGACGTTTTTGACATCTTTAAAACCTCTGATATCTTTAAGAATCTTTCTCTGCATGAAACGCATCTCACACTTATCTTTAAGGCTTAGGTTTGATTGATGTTTGTTAGAAACTTTCCAGGTATTTTTAGGTCACGGAAGAACTGAGATATATATTTTACACAACTAGAACTACTTATTTATAAAAGATCATTTAAAAAACAGCTTTGAGATATTACCTGAAATTTATTTTCTTTAAGGAAGATTTATTTGTTGAGAGATTGTGTTCCCAGGGTAGAAGTGGAGGTGGTTTTGGATGAGTAAAACTACATATAGCTTTGAGGTTTTCAAGTCTGGCATATTGCTATCTGTGGCTCTTTGCAAACATAAGCATGCCTTTCCACACCTCTTCCCCTCTGGTATGCAGAGAAACCAACACTTTCAAAGCAACTGGTTATTTCTTGGTTCCCAACTAATGCATTTTCAAAGTCACTGGGGTGTTCTTTCAGGGGATCAGGCATTTTAGGTTGCATATCCTGAGTAGCCCGTGGTTTTGAAAATGTAGGCTCAGCACTTTTCAGTGCTCACCCAAGTGCAGTGCAGGCATTTCTGTGTTCTCCTTAAGTTTAAGATCAGGCTTGTGTTTGTTTTGCAGATGAGCCCTGTATGGGAGACAAATCTATCTTCTGCCAAATGGAAGTGCTTGCGCGTTACTGTTCCATCCCTGGCTACAACAAGCTGTGCTGCGAGTCCTGCAGCAAACGCAGCAGCACCCTCCCACCACCCTTCCTTACAGAAGCTGCGGAGACTGAGGAGGAAGCGATGTTTGATCAAAGCCACCTGCCCAGGGCCTTGGCAATGCCAACGTCTTTAGCACCCCACCGTGCCGAGTTCCTGCCTGGAAGAAGTTCCCTGGGCAGGCTTCCCTCCTCGGAGCAGGAGGGAGGCACGCGGGTCTCGCTGCCTAACACCAAGCCCAAGAGTGCTGAGTTTCCTCAAGGGAGAGCTCCTCCAGCAAGCAAGACTTCCAGGCTGTTTGCACTGCCTCACCAGCCACCTGCCAACAGCAGCAATCTCAGTCCTCATAAACCCCAGCCTTTGGCAGCAGCCATTCCTATGGTGCCAACTAATAACACTCCAGCCGGAGCCTTTTATCCATGGAGAACCTCAAGGAAGAGTGAGAAGCATCCAGACAAGAGATGGCCCTCGAGGCCTTCCACTGTGGAAAGATGAACACGAATGCCACATGGAAGATAGTAATGGAAAGAGGGTCTTTGGCTTCCATTTCTTTACTTCTGGACGTTATGGTGCATGCTGCTTTCCACAAGCAGGACACTTCAGATCATCAGCTCATTCTCCTTGTAAATACAAAGAACAAGAAGTGCTGGTTCACTTTCTAGTTGCTCCTGTCTTCCTCCCACACTTGGTTATCCGGTGAGTTTGAATACATTGGAGGAAAGCACCAAAGAATATCCCTAACAGTGAGCAAAAGTTGCTGAGGGCATCAGTCATGATATGGAAAAGCAGCCCTGACCTCAGCACTCACCTCATGTTTTTTTTATTTTTAAACACATGTAGAAGATACCCCTCCACAAAAGGTACCAAACGTTTACACTTTACAGAATACTTTTGCAATGGAATAACTGAATCCGTAAGACTTGTTTTGCTAATTTATCTATATAAATGGTATTGTATGAGCAAAGTTGGAGCTGTTGTGTAAATACTGTATATTGCAGAAAATCAGTATTATTTTTAAGAGTTTTGTGCAGTCAGACAACTGTTTACCTATGTTACATTTCTGGACAATTGCTAGGTGCCTGCCATTGAGTACTGCCTTATTTACATTCCATGAGTTGATTTTGAAAGCAGCATTATCATAAAAGGAGGAGTTCCATTTTCATATAAATTACATCTACTGACACTAGGAAAGGGCTTATTAAGTATTGACAATGTGATGCTTTCTTCTGGAATAGGGGGAAAAAAGTGTAAACTTAAAGATAGGAATCTATCTATTGCCACCTGCCCACTGAAACTAGGTTTAAAGATTCTCGGGTAATTCCAGTCCCAGGTTGGAAAAGCAATGACTTGTGCCTGTAAAATGAACAGCAACACCTCTAGCCTACACTTACAGGCATTGCTTCAGTGGAGAAGTAGCAGTGCCATCCTTTTGCATAGGAGGTCAGATGAGTGTAGGAAACCATGTATATACTGTAAGTACTGTAATGTTCACAAAACAAAAATGAGTTGTGTATTCCTGAAAAAGCTGAAAAAGCATCACAGAGGTAGAACAGGCACTAACAAGAAATAGCTGTGGCAAGACTTAAAATAGATTTTTTTTTCCTACTGGAAGCATTGATTTCAAGGTGAGAGAGATATTTATTTTCAGCATGGTTCACCTCAGTCTCCACAACCACAATGCATCTGACTGCAATTATGTACTAGTAATTTATGTCAATAACCATCTTGTTCACAGTCCACCCAATCACACTCTCCTGTGTGTTGCTGTAAAGTACTTGTATATAGGATTGAGAACTAAAGATATTTATTAAAAGTTGAATTCTCGATAGTATTTTATGTACTAAATATTTACAGTAAGGGCAGTTGCCTATTTCTTTTTGCCAAGATAAAATAGAGAGATGTAATTAGATACCTGTACATGCTATTGCATATGGATAGAACAGAAATTTAAGCTAACTAAACTACTGTAGAGAAATTGTTGATCTTATTCTTTACAAAAAAAAAAAAAGTCTGATGACATTTTTAAAGGCATCTTTAATTTCTATATAGTTTATTAAAGTTTCATGTGCAATTTTTGCTTCCCCATTAAAAGAATCCTCACGATTGATGCGTTTAAAAGAACAGTGAATATGTAGCACTAACATATTGCAAAATAGATTAGAACTCCCTGGATTCAAATCTAGAAAGAAGCGTATGTAGTGATGATACAGGATCACTAGACTTGAATAAGGATGATATTTTTGTCAGGAGACTATTAATGTAAATGAACGTATAGGTAGATTAATCTTGTACAGGGGAGTATAGGTCCCGTTGTGCAAGATATCTTGCACTGCCATGTGCATAACCTAACCATGAAAGCATTGACTGGACACCTCTAAAGAACTGCTGCTACCTTCCTGCAAGGCTTTTGAAGGTCAAAGGAGTTAGTATTAAATAGATTGTACAGACAATCCCTGAGCCTCAAACAGACAAAGAGGGTGTGTTTGTTACTTTGAAATTCCCCAGAAGTCAAATTCTCTTTCTTTCTGCCTCTTTTACATATATACAATATGGGTGTAGATAATCATTGTACCTTTTTGCTTTCTTTTCTAAGAAGCTAATTTTTCTTTCATTAAAGTGTACACTACTGATACTGTTTGTTGTATTGGGGAGCACGTAGCAATAAAAACTTTTAATGTAAAAAGTCTTTCTCTGGTTTTGTTCATATAGGAGGACTTTATTCGAGGTTTGTATTTTTGCATCCTTAAACTTCACTGTCATGAAAAGAAGATAATTTGTTTTTTAAAAAATAAATATGTAATTCAGAGGTCCTGCTTCTACCATTGGAGAGCATAGGTTACAGAGAAGATGGGGGAAGGAAGGAATGAATTTCCTGTGATCCAAAGTTGATTGCTAGTATGAGCGACACTGTCCTGGTAGCAGCTCCAACCCCTTCAGTAATATGTAACATTTCGGGCTGTGTTTTTTAAAGATCTGGTACTTAGGAGATTCTGTGCCAGTTGAACACAGAGGAGACAGCTGTTCTCCTCTGCTATGTCTGTAAATTGTTTCTGAGTAGGTGAGTTTTCAGGTGGATTCCGTCCCTGATAACTTGAACAAAAAAAAACAAACACCACCACCACCACCAAAAAAAAAAAAAAAAATGTATTATTTTAGTACTGCAGCACTTGCTAAAAATAGCCTTCTGGTACATCTGTTTTGAAGCAATTTTGGGACCATTCATGCACAAGGATGCATCCTTTGAAATAATTGCTGTTTCCCATTTGAAAAGTACAGACTTAACATCTGCAGTTGGTATTTGTCTAATGACAGTAGGTTTTTTGTGAGCACTAGGTGCTGGCATATAAGGGCAAGTGGGGCATGTGTACACTCATATGCAGGCCCACAGACCTGCTGACTCACACTAACAATTAAGGAAAGCTGGCTCACTGTCAGATTGCCCCATGCATCTGTTTCATTACTTGAGATAGTGATGGATCATGTATGTCAACATAAGACTTTTTTTTTTTTTTAAGCAACAGTCCAAAAGGTGAAAGACAAAATAATGTTGCTTCAATTCAGTAGGTAACTGGAAGCTGTAGTAGTGGTCCTCCAGCAAGTGTCCAAGGACACTGAAAGTGCCATCTGGCTGCAAAGTGAGCCCTTTTACGTAGTTTAAGATGCTGTCCTAGGCAGAAACACTTCACTAGAGATTCACCGCTACGTGGTCATTCAGACCCTTTGCTCAATCCAAAACAACAACTTGGCTTTCTTATAAGTATTTAAGAGCTAAGGTGATTAATAAGCCTCTAAGGAGAGCAAATAAAGCTTTTTGCTTCAAAGAAAACACTGTGTATTGTCACATGTTCTGTCAACAATTCAGTCTATGTTATTCATTCCTGTCTTTGTGCCTGAACAGGCTCTGGGGCAGTTTCCAGTATTTCTTGCATGACACTGGGAAAGTTACCTATATCATGTTTGCATCTCGCTGCTGCTTCTTTCAAATTCCAGCCTTATGGGATATATTCCACAGCAGAAATAATCTTTGTATTGATCCAAAAAAAAAAAATAGTGAAGTGTTTCCCAGTTATAGCTGTTTGTGTTCAAGGAGAATTAATCCAAACCGGAACTTCTAGAGAAAAGCTTATGAATATGATAACAAAAATGGGAGGGCTTCATCACAGAGGTGGAGACTATGGTAATGTTGGCTTATTAACATGGCAAAACAGGCTGAGCATGAAGGTTAAGTGCTGTTTGTATGTACAGAGGGAGTACAAGTTTGTATCTTACAGGGAGTAAGAACATGGCAGGCAAGAGAGAACTGGGTTTACAATACACAAATAGAAACATCATAGAGAATGCGACCTGTGTTATGCCACATACCTCCAGTAAGGACCTGCTAGCTGGAGTCCTGCACAGTGCACCGTAATATACCTGGCTGATGAGAGAAGATTTCCAAGCAGCTCTGCTGAGGCTGGGAGGCCACAAAAGAGGTAAACTCCTCCTGGTACCACCAAAGCACCTGAGAGTCTTGGACTGGATATCACAGTGCTGCAAACGCATGGGGCACCTGCAAGGGGAAAACAGGTTGGGCACATAGTTCCCTGTTTCTCTATGTTGGTTTGCACCTGAACTTGCTAATAGTATTTACATATTTGATCTGTAATTATTCATTTTAAGTCCAAATGATGTAGTAAGTTTATATTATTTGGTTTGACTTCAGGTCTCTGCTAAATCTCTGTGTTAGTATATTCTGCTACGAATTCTATCTTTCAAGTATGTTAAAGTATGTTAAGTTTGGTAAGTAAATCTGAAGTAAGCCTCTAATGAAATTGAAATTCTTGCCCAGAAGTCTGATAGTAGTATTTGATAAACAAGGAACTTTTAAAACTGTCAAGATCTATTTAAGTACCACTTCTGAGTGTTAGAAGAGCTCTGTTAATCAAGTTCAGTATGCAATCAGTTATTGTAAGCGGCTTATAACTGGCACTGACAGTTGTAAATTATACTGGTTTTTCAATTCTGGAGTGGAAGTTGCAGTTCCTGATAGTTACTTATTTGAAACTGGAGGAAACTCCCAATTTATGTATTTCTAGCAACTTTCACATTTGACCACATGACAGCCTGTTGACTGCAGACTCAAACTGCAATTTCAAAAAAATACCTATCTCTGATGTTATCTCAAGTATAATTAAAGCAGAGATGCCAGAAGCTCTAACTAGTATTTCAGGAAGATGACAACCATCTATATAGAAAATTGATAAAATGATTTTCCTTTTCAGGTTTTTAAAATGCACAAAAGAAGTTCAGGCTTAGACTATTTGATACTAACACAGGTGCTGTAGTAACATTCTCTTTTTTTTTTTTTTTTTCAGGGGATTCACATTTTCATTTATTTATGTTTGTTTATTTTTCAAGTAGACCTCTGAAAGAAAGGACTAAAAATCTCTCATAATTGCAAGGTGTAATATGAATTAGCCTTTCTAATCACAATAGAACAGCAAGGTGAAGCTTCT